AAAAATGGACAAGAAGAAATACCTTACATTTTAGCTAACACAATTTTTTTTTTTTTGACAAATCTTTAAATTACTTCGATTAATGATCTAATGAATACAATATCAATGTATCCTTTATTAAGCCAACATTTAAAATAACAATTGGGTGACCCGGGTCGCCCATGTCACGCCCCAAGAATTTACAATACTGATATTTTTGAGATGTGACAGTCAAAAGATATATACATCTCTTTTTAGGACAAATTTATAATGGCAAATTCTTACAAAGTAACAAAAGAAAGTTTAAGCACAACTACAATAACTTCCAGAGTTGATCCTGACGAGCACTCAAAATGAAACCACAACTATCCTGAAAAAAAATGTTTACCATAATTTGATGAGTTTGGCTACTCAGTAAGTGATCATAATAATCCTAAAAATATTCATGGTTGAAAAATATCAATATTTTAAAAAATGAGATCTATTAATAGAAATGCATCAACAGTTTCACTTTCAAAAATACATAATTAAGTATAATTCGAATAATTGAAATGCGTATAACATTTTAACGTTAATGCATAATTCGAAAGATTTCACAAAATACCCTACTGACATCCCAAGTAGGTCTCCTATATACCCCATCGGCATCTTGATGGGTCCACTTAATCCTTATCAGCGTCCCAGATAGGTCCACTTAATCCCTACAAGTCCACTTATACCTCACTGGCGTACCGGATGAGTCCACTTAATCCCTACCGGCATACCGGATAGGTCCGTTATACCTCACCGGTGAACCGAATGAGTCCACTTGCATACTTAAAATATTTATAAATCTCTTTAAACATTAGCATAAATATCATATACTCAACATATCACTAAAATTATTATTATGAATTTCACTGAAACTATTAATAACAGTCGCTTTCAATAACATTTAAAAAACAACCAGTCAAATATTTTGGGCTCAAATTTAGAAAGGTAGCAGTTCGTAAAGACATTTTAGCATAATTTCCAATCTAATATGTATAGAAAAACTCTTATAGAAATTCAAGAATACAGAATTATCACAATTTATGGGATGTCAATTCGCAAATAAACATTTCACAGACAATGCTATAATCAATTGCAAAAATATCAGTTTTTAAATAATAAGGCAGTTATTTGCACATGAATTTCACAATGTCTAAATATCACAATTTTACTAACAGCAGAAATATCACATTTATCTTTAATAATTTTACAGTATCTAAAATTCTATAACAATAGACAAGAAAAATAAATAATTTTATTTCTAAGAATTTACAGCATTTAAAATTTATAACATAGATAAAATATCACAATTTTATTGAAAAGATTATTTTTCAAAATAATGAGGTCGCGTTCGCATAAAAATTATCGCGCCTAAAATTCATGATAATAAGTAAACATAATTATTTTATTTAATTTTCTAAAAAAACAGGTTATTTTTCAAGATAATGAAGTCACTTACCTATAATATTTGAGTGGGAGATTCTGATAAAAATTCAGCTAGAAAGAGCTCACTGCATTTGATTGGAAAAAGAAAGATCTCAAAAGTTTTATAAGGTGGGAGTCTTTACGTCTCCTAATTTAAATTCTTAAAATATATTATTATATTATTTATGAAGCTCCACCTCATACATCAGGTGTGACGATATTATTGAACGTGAAACATTTAACCACTAAAGGATGTTAACAAAAGTTGTGATAGTCTTTAAGGACCATAATATTTATATAGACTATCACACTGTAAAAAGTTATTTATTTATTTATATATATATATATTTTTTTAAAAAATTTAGATTGTTACAGCCCATCTAAAAAACAAATATAAAGCGGTCTGTCCCTAACTGAACCTCGCCATTTCCGATATTTGGTGAGAATTGGACCGGTTATTGATCTGCGATCTGGACCGGGCTATTATGATCAACGGTTCTTGAAGCCTTTATTTAACCCCCTTGGGCATGAATGTCATTAGCTTAGAAGTTGTAGCCCTTTCTCGTCTTTCATGCAACTAGAACCTTCGTTGACCGTTTGGGCCACGGAAATTTAAAAAAAAAAGGAAAAAATTAGCGGAAAACCAAAAGCAAAAGATCGATGTTATTTACAACGGTCATTCCGCCTCAGTTTTAGCCAAAATGCCATGTAGTCCCGCGGGTGGATACCAAGGCAATAACTCTCTCGGGTACAACCTCAATGAAGTACTTTTTTAGGAGCCGAAAAATTTGGGGCCAGTAACCTCCTCCATACGGGGACCACCTTGAAAGGTTAATGGATTGTATTTAAAATATAAATTTTCAAAAGGTAAATGGAATTGTATTTACAATATAATTTTTATTATTTATATTTTAAAGTTTATATAGAACCGAGGCTCTAAGCAATGAAATTAGAGCACACCTCAAAATTTTCACTAAAATTGTTGTTTTGATGCCCAACTATCCTCAAATTGATCATCTCGAGATCAACATACATGGACACGAGAAAAAAATAGATTTCAAGTTTTGAAAATAGTGTATCTTGTAATGCATTTTTTGATTGTCAATTTCCAAAATTTTCAAGTTTTCATAGATCTGATCGATCTACACTATTTTTGAAGTTTTTAATTTTATAATTAGAGATGAAAATATATTTTAAGGCTATTACAAAGATTTCCAGTATTGAAACCACATTTCTCGACACTACTTGAAGGTGCGCTCTACTTTGATTGTTGAGAACGTTGACTCTATACAACCTGCACCCTTTATATTTTATACTCATGGATGTTTTTTATTTTTAACAGAATTTATGCCAATATCCTATTTTTTTCCCACTTAAAACTCTATTCAATGTATTTTGTAACTTACGCTTGTGTCCCCCATTTGTCAAAATTGCCATTCGTTTACATTTTCATTATCCTAACTAAAACAATAATTAAAATGGAAATTTCAAACCAATTTTTTGTGGACCAACCGGTTCAAATTTTTAACTGTCCATTTAGTTTTGGATTTGAAAATTTAAAATCCATACGACACTGCTCACATACTTAATACAATCCCTTCTCCGATTACTCAAATAAATTCGTTCGAAATTTGAACCCAGAAAGAGTTGGTTTAGAAAAAACCATAAACCGGATTGGAATTTCAGGATACAAACAATTTTGTTAATTGTTTTGGTTCGGATTTTGAAAGCCGGATCCAATGGCGTTTTTAGGAACATGAAGAAAAAAAAAAGAAAAAAAAGGACAAAAGCGAAAATTATTATACACATGGGGATATACTCTAAATTCCATGCAAATGGGTTATTAGCGGAAATATCCCTTTTATGATTTTTTTTAAAAGGGAAAAGTTTATACAAGGTTAGGACATGAAGATGTAGAATTACATATGTACCTAAAAAATCCATAGTAGAATATTGTTTCAATGTTGAAAAAATCTCTAATTGATCATCTCGACATCTAGATGTATAAGTATGAAAAAAGGAGATTATGAGTCCCAAAAATTGTGCATTTTGCAACATATTATCTAGACCGTGCATTTTCAAGATTTTTATATATTTATAGATCTACTTGATTTTAACCGTTTTTGGATTTTCTTAAATATCTTGAGTTCGGAACCCCAAAGCTTTTTTAGGTCGTCTCTAAAGTGACTATTTTGAAAATCAAGCTCGAAAATTTTATTCATTAATAAAACAGGAAACACATACACCATTTACCTTTGTTAGAACGTGTGCACAATTAATTTTGATCATTGAATGTGAAATTGGGTGTTTGCATTTATTACATTAACAAAGATCAAAGTTCAAAAAAATTTCACGAAATTTTGTAAAACACCCAAACTAACGTAATTCACATAGTATGGTTATAGATAATTCTAATCTATTTGTGCCAAACGTAAATGGTCTCATTATATAGAATCTGAAAAAGAAAAACGTAAGTGTCTTCATTGTCATCATCATCTTTTTTTTTTTTCAATTAATTTGGTCATGTTATATGTAACTTAGTATGCTATTATGCTTTAGTAAAGATCATACCCTCTACGAGGCCCTAAGTCCCCCCAAAAAAACATAAGTGTGTTAAGTTTGAAATTAAAAAAGTTCACAAGTAATGCATGTTCCAAACTTAAACTTATGAACTGGGAACCATGTCTATATATTTATTGAGGGAACAATTCAGAACTTCTAGTTCCACGTTTCTTAATCTTTGGAAAAGTCGATTTGAAATGTGATCAACATACGGAAAAAAGAGACACCAGAAGTTCTCTAACAGTTGTAATTTGAAAAAAATAGAAAAGACATGAGTGTAAAATATAAGATAAGAAAAACATTTCAAATACCAAGAAATAATATTTTTGGAAAAATTCCTTACAAATATACATGCATACCATGTGTAAAATATTGTCATCGTCATTATCATTCATATTTATCCTAACTATTTGAGGCTCAACTAAATTCTATTATGTTATTTCACTCTATATACTTTTAATTATACTATAAGTCACGATATATCTTTTCATTTCTTTCATCGGTCTTTTTTGCCTTTTATTTTGCCGTTAAGAGCCTTCTATTTAAACCAAATCATTCCTAATCACAAGTGCTAATCAAATCATCAGCACCTGATACTTATCCCAATTATTTGGGGTCAGCAATATTTTAAAATTTAAATATACAATCGTAATTTGAATTGTTAGTTTCGAATAGATCTTAAAACAAAGTGGCAGTTTACCTGATGGAGTAAATATACATTATGTTCCAAAGAGAGCAAGCGAAAGAATAAAAGAAGAAAAAAAGCAAGAGTGAGAGAGCCCATAAAAAAACAAATTGGATGATTTTCATCCGACATGCAGAGGTGGCGAAATGGGCCCATGAAAACGAAATAATTGCAATTAGTCGGTTTGGGGCGGCAAATAAATCAAACCGCAAAACCATTTTTTTCTCTCTCTCTAAAGAAGAAATGCACATATGAAAAAGTAAATTTTAACAAAATAAATAAAATAAAACCCATAGCTGATCACCTCAAAGGCCCATAAATACCGCTCCTGACCATACCAGGGGCCATCCAATCAGTTTCTCTCTCTACACTCGGTTTCCGAAACCCACTCTCTCTCTAACCCCTTTCTCCCTCTAAAACTCTCTCTCTCTCTAGAGCTCTTCCGTTTTTTTTCCGGCCAAAAATGGGGAAGGATGTGGAGGTTTCAGAGCAACCAGAGTTCACGGCAAAAGACTATACTGACCCTCCTCCTGCCGCTCTCATTGATTTGGAGGAGCTGACAAAATGGTCATTTTACAGGGCACTGATAGCTGAGTTCATAGCTACTTTGCTGTTCTTGTATGTGACAGTGGCCACAGTGATCGGTTACAAGAGGGTGAGTGAAGCTGATCAGTGTGATGGGGTGGGAGTTTTGGGCATTGCTTGGGCTTTTGGTGGGATGATTTTTATCCTGGTTTACTGCACTGCTGGTATCTCTGGTGAGTTTTTTTCTCTTCTTTTTCTTGAGTTCATGGAGTTTTTGGGGTTCTATGGCTTTTTCTCTCTCTTGTTGTTTAGTATGAGATTTTGTGTCTGTGTGTGTGGAGTTCATGGGGAGTTCTTGGGTTCAAAGACTTACTCTCTCTCTAGATGTTCAGTGTATTTTCATGGGTCATGGAGATTTTTTGGGTTCTCTGGCATTTTTTCTCTCAAGTTGTCTAGTGTGAGTTTTTTTTTGTTCGGGAGTTCAGTGTATTTCTGGGTTCTAATGGTTTTTTCTCTCGCTAGTTGTTCAGTGTAAGTGGTTTTTTTTTGTGGACTTCATTCAGATTTTTGGCTGTATGGCTTCTTTTCTCAGAAGTTGTGCAAGAGTTTTTTTTTGTTTTTTGGGGAGTTCATGGAGGATTTTTTGTGTTTTATGGATTTTGTTCTGTGCAGGTGTTGAGTACACTTATTTTCCTTCTTTTTTTTTTAATTCAAGGTCCTTTTTTATTTCTGTGAAATTTTTTTTCCTCTGTAGTTTTTTATTTTTATTTTTTCTCTGAGTTTATGGGGGTTTTTGAGTTGATGGGTTCTGGGGCATTTTTAAGAGTTTTTTTTTTTTGGAGTTCATGAAGATTTTTGGCTACTGAAAATGTTTCTCCAGGTTTTTTTGTGTGAGAAAGTATGGGATTTTGTGGAGGACTGTAGTGAGGGGTGAAGTATAAGAAATTTTGTGGCTTTTTTTTTTGTTCTTTATTCTTGGAGAGTTTTTTCTTCCAGCGTTTTCAAAATCTCAGTTTTCCTCATGCAAATTTGGGAAAATCTCTCTTTCACCTTCAACATATCTCTCTCACATCTTCCACGCTCTAAATTTGTTCATCTTTCTCTAACAAACAGGTGGGCACATCAACCCTGCCGTGACCTTCGGACTCTTCCTGGCCAGGAAGGTGTCTCTGATCAGGGCAGTGATGTACATGGTGGCTCAGTGCCTCGGTGCGATATGCGGTGTTGGCCTGGTTAAGGGCTTCCAGAGCGCCTACTACAATCGTTACGGAGGAGGGGCTAATACCTTGTCTAATGGTTACGACAAGGGAGTGGGGTTGGGGGCTGAGATTATTGGCACTTTTGTGCTCGTTTACACCGTCTTCTCTGCAACTGATCCCAAGAGGAGCGCCAGGGATTCCCATATTCCTGTGAGTTTCTCTTTCTAAACTAGTCTAAGTTCTCTAGGATTTGTGTTTTAAGGTTTTAATTGCATATGCTCCTGTGGGTCTCTTGTTTTCTAGAAATTTTTTTTTTATTTTTTTTATTTTTGCTATTGGAAAGCATTTTCGGCCCTGAATATTTAGTTTTACATTTTTTTTTCATGTTTTGGTTTATTTTGAAAATATCCATAGCCACCAATTGATTTTTAGAATATATTTTTTCACTACTTCTCAAGTTCATTTGAATGTGCTTTATTTAATTTTTCATTAAATATACTTTCCATTTTTTTTTTAAGACTTTTTTATCTTTTTAATACTTTTTGAGCCTGCCTATGCCTGCCCCTGCCTGGTTAGGCCGGCCGGTCTACTAGTTACTCGGACCCAGGGACTTTACTGGTTTTCGAGTCTGGCTCGATTTGTCTTTAACAGTCTCTCTAGGAAATAGCTCTGCTCTCTCTTTTCAGGCGATCTCCCTCTCTCTCTCTCTCTACAACTTCTTGACTCCTTTAAAATTGTTTTCTGAGAAACAGCATCTCTTCCAGGCAATCTCCCTCTCTCTCTAAAAAACTTCTCGACTCCTTTAAAATTGTTTTCTGAGAACCTTCTCATTCAGGCAATCTCCCTCTCTTTCTAAAATTGTTTTAAAATTCACTGTCCCTATGCTTACTGGTGTACCGCCATGAGTAAATATGAAGTAAATGTTCCCATCACATTCTCTCTCTAGATCTCGCTCTAGAAGGTGCTGTTTTTTTTTTTCCTTCTGCCATACCTTACTTTTGATATCAACTATTTTCCGCTACTCATCTCTCTTTTTCTCTCTCCGCTTTTTCTGTGAAATTATTCCTGTATTTGCACTAAACTTTATGAGTGGGAAACAATGGTAGTTGTTTGCTTGCTGTCTCTTCAGGTAAAATGCCAAATTTTTATTTCACTCGGATGGGATTGTTTTATCCAAAGTCCAGCTGGCTCCAATCTGCATTTAGTTTCAGGAAACTTTTTAGAGAGAGAAATGAGTTGGCCTTTTTCTAACTGTGGAAATATGGACCAACTTTCTCTCTCTAACAATTGCCGTGTAATGCCTGCAACTAAATTTTTGTTCACACAAATTTTAAGATTGAACGCATCTGGATTTTTATGGGTTGTTGTGGACTTTGGACAAGTGTAAGAAAGATGGGGTCTTTTGCTTTTTTTCCTCTCTCTCTCTCTCTTTTTTGACCAAAGATTTCTTACTTTTCTGAAGTAATTACTTTTTTGGATATTATTTTCCATGTCTGCATTAATGGAGATGCCCTTTTTCACTTTATTTTTGTATGTCTTTTTTTTTTATTTGAGGGAGAGCAATAATTGAACTGATGAGATTCTCTCTCTAGGATTGGCAAAATGTAGAGAGAGAACAAATAATTGAATTAAGGAGTTTCTCTATCTGAGAGCAAACCATTGATTTAAAAAATACGCCCGGATCGACCCGGGAGTCGATGATTATACGTGGAAAAATGGGCCTGGTTCAGCACATTAAAATGGCAATTTGGGCTGGATTGGTTTTTGGCCTATTCTCTATTTTTTTCATGTATTATTCTGCTGGTACGCTTCTTATCTGCACAGTAGACGGTAGACGAGCGATCTGGACCACCGATTTACTGATCCGAATCAGTTTTTTTAGTTGCCTGATCCGGATCACCCATCATTTTATTTTTTTAAATCACTGGATCAAACAATTGAAACAAGGACCTTTCTTTATAGGATTAATGACCTGAGAGCAAATAATTGAATCAAGGAGTTCTCTCTAAGACGACGTGTGATTTAGAGAGAATAATTGAAATAAGGAGCTTCTCCCTCTTATGATTACAATTATGAATGAATTGTTGATTGAAAATTGTTTGTTGGTGTAGGTGTTGGCACCATTGCCAATTGGGTTTGCAGTGTTCATGGTGCACTTGGCCACCATCCCAATCACTGGAACAGGTATCAACCCTGCTAGGAGCCTTGGAGCTGCTGTCATCTACAACAACAAGAAAGCCTGGGATGATCAGGTATATATTCATTGTTACACTCCTAATATTTAGTAGAGAGAGAGAGAGAGAGAGAGGGCTCTGACACCAGGTTTCATTTATATTTGTGGCAGTGGATCTTTTGGGTTGGGCCCTTCATTGGAGCTGCCATTGCTGCTGCATATCACCAATACATTTTGAGGGCAGCTGCCATTAAAGCTCTGGGTTCATTCAGGAGCAACCCCAATGTTTAAGAAAACTCCAGCTCTCTGTGTTTTGTGAATGGGTTTGGGGATCAAAGAGTGATTTTTAGGAGAAAGAATAATGAGAATGGAGTGGGCCACTTTCTCTCTCTCTCTCTCTCTCTAACTGTTTCTCCCTCCTTGGATGTGTGCTTGGGCTGCTTCTCTCTAGACCATCAGGTGGCCTGGAACTGTAGATAAATGTTGGGTTTTCCTGCATTTAATCCTCTCTAGAGTTCTCTCTTTCTCTCTCTAGTTTTTGGGTTTTGTATGTTGGTCTGGTGTTCCTGTACTTAAAAAGAGAGGTTCTAGTGAATAGTCATGTGCTTTCTTTCACTTCCAAATTCAATTGGCTCGCTTGTTACCTTTGATCCTTTACTTATGTTTCTTTTTCTCTCTGTAAATCACTACTTGCTTATGTTTCTGTTTCTTTCTAAATCACTACTTATGTTTCTGTTTCTGTCTCTAAATCACCAATGTTTCTGTTTCTTTCTAAATCACTACTTATGTTTCTGTTTCTCTCTCTAAATCACCAATGTTTTCTTATCTCCAGCTTTTCTAGACACATTTCTAGAGCTTCCATAGATGGCGCAGTTGTCGCTTATCCAAAGTATAAAAAATTATTTTTTGATGTTAATTGTAGTTATCATTGTGTGTCCATGCAACGTTATTTTAGCATGAGCGTTTAAAAAAAAAAAAAAATTCAACGGTGTGATCTGTTGAAGGTTATAACACTTTCTTTTTTTTTTAGGTTTTTTGGTCGGATCGGTGGGGATATTGGGGTCCCTACTCGTTTGTTAAATATACTAAGAAAATGGTACATGAACAATTCTTAAGAGAACACACATAAAATGAAATGAAAGGCGTTACAAAGTTCGGCGGGCGACCGCACCAAACCATTGCTTCATTTATAGAAACTGCTGCCTCGCCTAGATACTCAGCGGCCTCTATTTACGGTCTCCAACCGTTTTGTTAATTCTATGAATCACCACTGCGCAAGCCTTCTCGCAGATTACGTATTAAGTTGGCTAATTGTATATCCACCGTTGCATCTGTTGTTGATTGTTCTCAGTATAATACAGTTGGTAAACCCTAATGTCGATTGCCAATTTTCCTTCAGTCGGTAAAGCTTAGTGCCGACTTAATCCTTTTTTTCTCTTGTTTGATACAATCAGCGAAGCCTAATGTTGGCTCCATCTTCTCTCTTTTTTGTCTAACAATTGGCCAAGCCTAGTGCCTATCTTCTCTTTATCGGTAAAGCTTAGTACCGACTGTATCCTTTTTTTCTCTTGTCTGATACAATCAGCAAAGCCTAATGTTGGCTCCATCTTCTCTCTTTTTTGTCTAACAATTGGCCAAGCTTAGTGCCTATCTTCTCTTTATGACACAGTGTGCGAAGCTTATCGCCTACTACATCATCTCTTTCTCCTTTGTTTGACACAGTCGGTGATACAATTAGTGAACATAATAAGTAATCTACAAGTAGGTTTGCAACGGTGATTCATAAAATCAACAAAAACGCTTGGAGTCACCTTCGATGACAACAGATACACAATTCAAGTACCTCGCCAGGAAAATACGCTTCTCAAGTACATGCAACTTAAACAACTAAAGAAAAGCATACTTCCAAACTTTGTCTAATTTTGGAGTTTTTTAATTTTTTTTAGAATAATATAAAAATCTATTTTTATCTCATTATCATCGATCAAGATTGTTTTTTTTGTTTTTAACTAATTAGGATTAGTTACATGAATCGGGTTTGTTGTGCTAAATGAGCGTCTAGTTTTATATCTACTTAAAATAATTTAAACTCTAAAAAATAGCTTAAATCAAGCAATCTATAAAGGAAAGAGTGGTTGAATTAAGGTGATCGCAAGGATCAGGTACCCTAATAAAACTCATAAATAAAATTTCCTTTATTATAGTATTCAACGGGTGGGGCTGACAATGGGCATGGCCTAGGAGGCCTTGGCTTGGTGATTGGCCCTAATCAGGTTCATTAATGGCCGAGTTGTGGCTAATTATATATATAAAAAAATGCAGGCAGGAAAAAGAAATTGGAACCCGCCATGGCTCACAGTTTGGGACCAGCCCTGCCCTCTAGGTCTGGCTCTTGTGCCAAAATTTAATGGGGGTAATTTTCCAAACCAAATCCGTAGGGATTCATTTCTCTGTGTCGGGTTACTTAGCCCATTGCCCATCTCTTTATAGGTTGGCTATTTCTTGAAGTTTCAAGTTTATAATCAGGGATGGAAATATATTAAAAGATTTTAAAATACCCTCAATTTCCACCTTTAACATATTAAATTAAAAAAAAGGAAAAAAAGAAGCCCTTACGTTATGCTGATCTCACCCAACACTGTAAAAGAATCTACCATACGTAATAGTTGTTTACCTTGGGAAATATTTGTTTTTATATATTTTAATGTTTTATTTTTCCCTCAAAAAAACATGTCTTTCTTGAAGTTAAGGAGAGTGTTCTAAAATAATTGTTATAAATCAATTATGTATAGTAGTTGGTTACCTAAGGATAGGTTTCTTTCATATTTTAATGTTTGAAAAGGCAAGAATAATCTCTCTCTATCAGTGAAAGAGTGGTGTAGAAAAGGTCAGTAGTAGGTAAGTGCTGCTTTCTTAAAACTGACAAGGATAATCTAAAATTTATTTATATGAGTGGAAGGTGGGATTTGGGGCATAGGAAATTGACATGGAAACCACTAGAGTTGTCATCTTTTACTACAAGAACCACCAACTTGTACATTTACTTGGTGTGAAAGACACCCCCTCTTACTCACCCCAAAAAACAAAGAA